ACGAAATGGACAACTGCTTCGGGAAAACCTTGATCTGCTTGCTAAAGTTAAAGAAGAAGCTCGGCTTCGAACTCTTGTATACAAGCAGAAACTAGCCAACTTCTACAATAAACGGGTCCGCCCTCGAACATTCAAAGTAGGAGACCTTGTTCTCAGAAAAGCTGGCCTAACAGGGTTTGAAACTCGTTTTGGCAAACTTGCCTCAAATTGGGAAGGCCCCTATGCCGTGGCCGAGGTGCCACATCCTGGTGCTTATATTCTCCAAGACGCTGAAGGAAAGAGAGTTCCTAGAGTCTGGAATGTCAATAACTTGAAGAAATTTTACCCCTAATAAAATTCTTTCAAGTGTTTTAAGTCTTACTGTTCTTTACGTTTCTCACTTCTTATTTATTAAGAATCATTTTACCTCTTATTCTATGTATCTGAGGTCAATCAGTTCATTCACTTCTGTTAATAAATGTCACTTCACATTTGAAGTGCTTTGTTTCCTTCTAATTTCTTCTCAATAATGTACTTGTTCCTAATTCATATGAAGTGGCTTACTTCTTCTTAACTCATCTGAAGTGAATTACTTCAGTTAATCTCTCAAGTGGCTTACTTCTTCTTAACTCGTCTGAAGTGAATTACTTCTTCTTAATTCGTCTCAAGTACTCTTAGTTCTTTCATTCATAAAACATAACAAAAATATAAACCAAACATAAACAAATACATAATTTCATTTAATGTAATAAAAAGTGTTACAAACTGTTTCAATGTTCTACAAAAAATTAAAAACAACAAAACAAAATTAATTCTCTGCTGGAGGAGGTGGCTCCACTGGCTTCTCTTCAGCTGGAAGAGGTGGCTGTCTCAGCTGCTGCTCGTCTGGCAGAGGAGGCTGATCATCATCAGATGGAACTGGATGAATCTCCACTTCTGGTGCTGGTTGGCTTTTATCCACTTCAGCTCCATCTGCTCCTGCCTCCACCCCGCCTCCTTCAACCTCTGCCTCATCTTCTTCTTCCACTGCAACGAACTCAAAGTCGAAGTTCGGAGGGAAAACAGTGAGTCCATCAGCATCATGATCCCACTTCAGTTTGATTTCTGGGCGGAAGTCTGCTGACATACTTTCACCATCTTCCTCCACTCCAGCTTCTTGCTCTCCGAAGGTTATCCTTGTAACATCCACTTCGGGATAAATAGTCTTCACCTTCTTTCTGCAGTCCGTGAAGGCAATGATGGCAGTTGGCAATCGGTAGAGGTTGACGATGTTGTCAAACGAGCTAGAGCTGATGAAGTTGCCGATGTGCTCCTTCATCCCATTGTGCACTAGGGTCTGCACATTCCCCTTCAGCTCCAAGAAAGCCTCCTTCGTCAGCTTTAACTCTTGCGCCAGAGCATCACGCTCGCTTTCAGAGATCTTTCGCTTAGTCTCTTCAAAGCCGAGCTTGGTGCCCAGGGAAGACCTCTCCTGTAGTTGGAACCACCTCGTCCAGAGACTCTTGCAGTTCTTTATTTTTCTTCTCCAGCTCCTCCTTCTCCTTCTGCAGCTGGTCATACTGTCTCTGCAAGAGTTCGCACTCCTTCAGGCTCTCCCTGAATTCCTGGGCTAGACCATTCACCCAATTCGCGCTCTGCAAATCAAAACCGAGGTTAAGAGAGGAAGAAGAGAAGATAACACAGCTTAACTACACAACATTAATAATAAATTACCATACCTCTAGAACGTGCTTCACAACGAACGCTCCACCATGCCTCAGAGCTTCCTCCCGCGCGTAGCTTAGGTCCACTTCGAGGAAGGTGTTGTTGATGAACCACCTAGCCCCCGTAATGTTCTTCGCCTCGAACAGGCTGCTCTGAGGCCCCAATGGGGGAATAGGGCCCTTTCCCTTGCCAAGAGCTCATACCTCAGCCCCCTCCTCCAACCGTCTGAGCTCAAGGTTCAGCTCAACAGGAGGAGGCTGAGGTACGAACAGAGGCACCTCATTCCCCTTCTCCTCCTCTACCACCTTCTTCTTCTTCTCTAGTACCCTCCTCTCCTCCCAACCCTTTCTCTTCAGCGGTGGCACCTCCTCCCCCGTCTCAGCTGAAGCAGTGGGCACTATCTCCTTCCCAGTTCTCCCCTCATCCACTTGTTTGGTTGAAGTCCTTGACTTCTTCCTTGGCTTCTTGGGGATAGCCTTTCCTCCAGCAGTGTCCAAAAATTGATTCATGTCAGCTGCAAAGCAAAAAACACAATATTAGTCACAATTCTATATTCTACATTTAGCGCTGCAGTATATGTCAAACAAACCTTAACTCAGAGCGCTTGGCCCATAGAGCTCAGCAGCCTCTATGCATGCTGCGCTGGTGAGGTCCATGATATTTAACACATCCCCCCTCTTCCTCATCAACCTCCCCACTTCCTCCTCCTCATCCTCAGTTAAGCTAAACTTATTCTGGTTGGCCCTTTTGGCCTTCCAGGAAGCTAACGCCCTCACCTCGGCATCCCCTTTCCCCCA